AAATCAAGACAATAAAAGCAGTTTCCAAAGGGAATGAGATCTGTTAAAACATTCAAAGGCTTTGTTGTACATTTTTAAGGCCTCTTTTCTTTTTTCTTTTTTATTCGGGCTGTAAATTTAATCAATCGGCTGATTCTTGGCAGATTCATTGTTCTCTTACAAAGTAAATCAATGGTGCTATATTTCATCATGTTTTTCACACATTCCCCAATGCATTGTTTTCCTGCCTTTGAAGCAGGTAGTCATAATTATATTTAGAGCCGGAAGTGAGGTTCAATATTCAGAATATTGCCTTTCTCTTATTTTGCCTTCTTTTTCCCCCTCCTTTGCTGCTTCTCTAGTGTCCACCTTGGTTAACTGCACCATTTACTCTGCATCAGTAATTTTGTACACCAGCTTTCCAATTATTGTCTGCACAAATTGAATGCATCATAGACTTTAGAAAGGAACTGAGCCAGGTAATGTTCCCAAAGCCTTCCAACCAGGGAATTAAAAAAACACCCCAGATACCTAGTCTGCTCACATTTCATCCAATAGCAAAACTCCTTTTGATGGTAATGGGAAAAGGATTGGGCCCACAATTACTAAACCCACGCATTAAGTGCCACACAATGTTTGTAGTTAAACTGCTGGAGCTGCTGCAAGGATTATGCATGTACATTTGGTAAATATACAGGAAAATGGCTAATTAGGGTCATTTGTGCATGCAATTAAACCATTACGAATGCAAACAAGCTGTGCAATTGTGCATGCATTTTGTGCATCCACCTCTCCTAAAAATACGGTGCCAGCGTTCAAATGAAAATAATAACATTTAGGTCCCAGTCACTGAGAACTTGGCACCGAATTAAGTCATAATACGTTTTATACCAAATGAGAATGAGAACGGGATACACAGGCCACTATTCACGTTCCTTGCTTCAAGCTGTCCTTAACCCTGTACTTTTGAAGGCCACCTCTGGGTGTCACTGTGGGAACTGAATGGAGTGTTCATAGTCCATTTTCCATAGTTGCATCGATGGATTTGTTCTATTTAAACTATAACCTCAAGAAAATGTCACCTTGATGCTCTCTGCTCTTGTGAACTTTGCAGTAATTGCTTCTGTCACCATTTTCATTTTAAGGGAACTTTGTAGGTTACAGAATCTTGCGAGCAGGTTTGATTGATCCTGAGCCATCTCTGTGAACATGACTCCAATTATTAATGCAAGTTGAGCAGGGAAATCTGACGTGGCTGAAAGCAGTTTAGCTACAGTTTGGGTTTAATTATGGAAAGCTATCAAAACCTCGATGTCAAAACCACACGAGCCTATTACAACCTATATGGAACAAACCAAAACACTACCAAATGTGCTGTACACAACACTCCTTGCCCAGAAAAGACTGGGTAAGTTAACAGATCTTTTCCTATCCTATCCAATGCTATAGATTGAATTGCACTGAGTGTGGGGGAAATGATTCTTACTCACTATGAAGATTTCTGTTGATTGTATCCTTTGAACTGGTAGTCATTGCACAGATACTTTTCAGAAAAAAAGACAACCAGAAGAATCAGGAAACTGGAAAATATGCCAGAGCATGTAAGACAGTACAACAACCATGTGTGTGTCCTTTAGTAACATACATTAGACTTGTGTAATCGATTCATATACTTTGGAAATCTTGTTGGTCCTGTGCACTAAAAGTGAAACTTGGCAGGTGCTATTGTAATACATGTTATTAAATCTCTTAAAAATGTGCAGTGCAAAATAAAACATATTGCCCTGTCTAATAAAAAATAATAATAGTTTCTTCCCCTTTTTTTCTCCATTTTTGAATACTTGACAATAACCCTGTTCACAGAGGAAGAAAACATGGTTTGTTCTTTACAGTGTCCTGTCATCTTAGGCTGGCAAGCCTCCTGTTGCAGCCAGGATCAGGCAGTACAATTTTGATAAGCCTTCCTTCAAAGACTAGCATGCCTTCATTTCTGGAAACTAGTTGTTGCTTCCCTCTTTGAAAAGTGCTATTTCTTTGTCTAATGCTATGCATTTAATATTTTTGTCCATGAACGTTATGTGCTTTCATGGGTGTAAATTAAAATTATTGTTTCACATTTTGACTACAGTAGCATCTTAATGCTCCCAATCCCACCATGCAAAGCTCAGTCTGAACACGTACCAGTGAGACAAGGCCAGAAGAAATACGTCATGTGATAACGCATATTCCTATGAGTCTGCAGCACCTTTCCCTCATTGATCTCCAAGCTCTGTCTAACATATAATTAATTAACGCCTCACACTATACCAGCATGAGACTTGGAGTGAAATTGTGGCTTCAGGGAAGGCAGTGGCAAAAGTTCGATTGACGTCAATGGGGCCAGGTTATCACTCGTCATTTTTATTACAACTGTTTTGCCAATAGGTTAACTGAAGCATGGACAGGTTAAGCAAAAAACCCAGGAGTACAAGCGTAACTCAGTAGCTGGAACACAATTCAGCCCTATTACTCCTGATTCTCATTCCCCTCCTACACCCACTAGCCAACGCTGCATGACAAACGGTTGAACATTTCATTCTATCGCCTGTCTGATAAGCACTGCATTATGAACACATCTGAGCATGCTGCAAGCCGTGGTTTTCCTCTGCACAAACAGCATGCACGGTATCTAGATCTTGAAATGGGGAATGGAATTCAGACTGTTTTGGAAGCTGTGCTTCATCAGTGCAGTATAAAATGCTGATGGCCCCAATGCATTTTAATGCAACGCACTACAATAAATCAGAACGTGAGTGGTCAAGGGCTTCGGTGCAAACTCTTCAAGAACCTGGGGTTAAACAAGGATGTTGCACAGCTTCAGGGCAACACTGCAGATCGCAAAAGTGATAGCACCATTCTGCAGGTAAGACGAGAGGTAAGAAAGAGCACAGCTTACGTGTCTTTCTCTTCCATCTCCTGATTGACAAGCGAAGAGTGGTTTTAACATGAGCACTGTAAGAAGCTACCTCCACCCTCATTCAAATACAAAAGGAACATTCTGTACATCATTCTATACTGAGTGGGCTGGGAAAAACGAACATCATATCAAAGTGAAAGCCACCTAGAACTTGTTCCACTGATTGTAAATTATCCCTGTTATCCTGAGGCCTTGGCTGAAGGATGAGTAGCACCGGATATTATCTAAAAACAATGTCTCTCATTGCCATGATGTAATATATTAACTAAAGGGGTGAATGGTGAATGGCTTCAGTCCCAAATTTGGGTTCTTAATCCCAATCCAGTAAAAAAATCAGTGCTCAGACTCTTTAAAGAACCATGTGTTTGGGGAACCTAAGCCTCATTTTGATCCTTCAGTGCATTTAAGCTGGACAGCTTGTGAAAGCAACCCAGGGTTGAAAACTCTTTCTCCTCCACAAAGTACAAGGCCACACGAGTCCTGCTGACAGCTATGTGGTGGTTCTTTACAAGCGGGGTGGATTTTCAATCACGTGGCATTCTACGCATCATGGCTCCTACTGTCTTGATTGGCTAAATTAACCCATGCTTTATGCTGTCAAGGCCTGCTCATTCCTACTGCTATTCAGAAGTCTGTGTAGTTCCTGAGATGGAATTGAAATCATTAGGCCAAGCCGTTCTATTTTCACTTGGGCAAAACCTATTCTGAAGCTAATAGAAATGTTTCCAGAATAAGGTTCTAAGGCCAAGGCTCGGTGACCTTTTCCAGCTGTGCTGATATCTATAGCTATAGCTATATATACATATATATATATAGAGAGAGAGATATCTATCTAGATAGATAGATATCTCTATATATCTATCGAGATATCTAGATAGATATCTCGATAGATATCTATCTAGATATCTCGATAGATATCTATATAGATATATAGAGATATCTATCTATCTAGATAGATATCTCTATATATCTATATAGATACATGGATATATAGCTAGATATCTATAGATAGACAGATATCTATATCTAGCTATATATATCCATGTATCTATATAGATATATAGAGATATCTATCTCTCTCTCTAGCTGATCATCATTTTTATGGAGCTTCTACTATTTCATCTTAGTGAAATTGTGCAAAGTACAGAGCAAGGTTGCATTTAATGTAATTTGCTTCATTTTCTATGTGCTCTGAGGCATGTAAAAACCACTGAACATATTGCAGCTCTCAATAGCCAGGAATAAAATTACCTGAATTTATTTAGTACACCAGGAAGCTGTTTTGTTTTCTTTTTCATTGTACCTATAAAGCTCGATTCAAGGACACCTAACCATCATTAATCAACCGCTGTGTTTCACATTGCTTAAAGACATCCAATGGTATCATTTCAATAGTGGATTTACGAGCAGAGTAAGCAGAGCTGCCTTCTGCTCTCCATCCTGATACCCTGATGTGCATTCCACTTTCCCTGAAGTCAGTGGTAGATCTGGTTTTGCAAACACTGCAGCTCTGAGCGTTAAAGCCACAGCAGCAAAGCCTGCACAGGATGGAGTGACTGAGACACCAAACTGGGTTACTTTGCTCTTTAAGCCTTCCTTGCTGGTGAAGGCATTTCTTGTCATCTTTCTCTCCTTACAGATAGCAAGATCTTCATTGAAAAGAGAATTCAAGAAAGAGGGGAAATACCAGACTTATGCAGAATTCTGGTGTGTTGATTTGGTTTCCTGTTTTTGGCTCCCCAGCCCAGTAAGCTACTCTTGTTATAAGTATAAGCCCTGAAGTCAATGGGTGTACCCCAGGGGTAGATTTGGCCCACTATACTTTGCAGCTGGGATCCTGCTAGAGCACTCAGCCATTCAGGTAATACAGAACTGGCAATATGCCTTTATAAAACCTCTTTTACATTTAACTAGAAAAATCAGTGAAGGCTTCCATGTAGCCAGGAAGCAATGTTTCAAAGACACCAAATATAAGTCATAAAAACACTTTCATTAATATAAAAACAGGAATGACATCTTGGACAAGGAATAAATAGTCACAAAAATGGCATTTATCTAGACCTACCAACACTTGTTATCTTTTGGGAGACTAGGTCTTGTAGCAAAGCCTCAATTGCAGGATTATGTCTGGAATACAGCTCGTACCGATTAATACCAATGTGGAATTTCAACCAATTTGGGTAGGAATCCACAGATGTTTCTCCGGTGGGTAAAAATTCTTCATCTTCGTTACCTTCATTTTGCCTACCACAAAGACATGAGGAGATATGAAGAGAGAGCAGTATTACTATTATTACTATTATTTGCAAAGAGCATCATAACAGAGTGATTCAGAAAACAATGATGTGAGAAGCAAGCACCGTAAATGGGAGACACCGGCTTCAGTTTGTCCCTGAAGCCAAGGATGCAATTGAGGGCCTTCTCCCACTTCAGTAAAGCCACCGGGAGCTTTGCCACTCAATTCAATGGGAACAGCCTCATGACCTAAATTATTAATGCCTGGTCCAAAACCCATTAAAGTCAGTAGCAAAGCCCCCACTGATAGGCGGGGACACTGGATCAGGCAATGGTACAACTTTGAGCTCAGTCCTGCATTTCAGAATGAGAGCTCCAACAAAGTGTCGTTGGAACGTGATAGAGATGCAGAATATATCTCTTTAATCCAGAGAACGATTGTTTTTTTAAAAAGTAACATCCTACTCATGGTGGAATGGTTACAAAGAAAAACAACTTTAACCACAAATCTTTATTTAACAGTATGTCCCCAAAAGAACTACTGCAAAAGTAAATTTAGATTCTGTATGTCCCCAAAAGAACTACTGCAAAAGTAAACTGAGATTCTTTAGCCATATACGTCCTTTTATATTCCCTGGTGTAGTTAAAAAAAAAAAGCAAATCACTTCTAACTACTTGCTAAATAAACATCCTAGCTCTTTTCACCACGAAGTGTCTACAGGGAAGGTAGCTGGGCTCTGAGTTATTGTTGTCTCCCAGAATTTTATAAATTAATGTTAGCTGCTAAATTGAATGCTAATTACATAAACCTTGGGGAACAATAACTAGTAGAAACAAGTACAGCAGCCAGTTAAATTGTAGACATGCGACACTTGGACTCCTTACCCATTTGTTATGCTATCATATGTCTTCATGCCAGGGCCAGCTGTACCTTTAGTCATTATACTCCATACATAATTGTCAAATGCTCATGACAGCAATTTTTTTCCAGAGAAACTGGGACTGCTCTAAGCCGGAGTAGGCTAAATCTGATTTTAATGACTGAACATAGAGGGCCTATGTGGTTCCTGTAAGCATGACGTTGCACAGGAAAATATTTACAAGATTTTAAAGATTCAAATCAAAACTACTTACTCAAATGCTTGGCAGAGCTTTTGCGTGGTACAATGCAGCTGTTTAAAAATTACAGTGTCTGTGCTTGAAAGAGGGTGCTGTTGTATTAGGGACAAGTCTTTTGATTTCTCAACCATTCATGTTTCTAAGCATTGCTGATAAATCAGCGGGGCAGACAATTCACAGGCAAACAAAATGCAATCAAAGTTAGGCAGAAGTAAGGGCTGTGAAAGGGCAAGAAAAGATTTTGCCCAGAAAACGTGGTGTCAAAAAACAGACCCATCTTGGGGTTTAAATCCCATTTGTATGTGCACATTGCCCATGGTTTTGTGACCTTTGAAGTCGGGCCCTTGGCTTCAGAGAAAAGTTAATATTTGGTTACCCAGTCTTATGTTGTATGTGTGTGGGGGGAGGGGGGGAGAGGAAGAGGGAAGAGCAAGGGGTGGGGGGGGGGGGAAAACAAGAAGTCTAACTTCAACATGTTTAATTCCTATTGTCCCTTGTGACACCTGAAGCCTATCACTTAACCTCCCGTTATATCGGAAATATCCGTTACTCTGGACTTGGAAATGACTTGGTATAACCTACACGTATATGTGTGCGTGCATGTGTGTGTGTGTGTGCGCGCATGTATGCATGTGCATGTGTATGTATGCATATATGTATGTGCATGTGTGTATATATGTGTGTACGTGTATATGTACGTGTGTGTGTATACGCGTGGATGTGTGGATGTGTGTGGATGCATGTGCATGTGTGTATATATCTGTGTGCATGTGTGTGTTAGTGTGTATATATGTATATGCATGTGTGTATAGATGTGTATGTGTGCATGTGTGGGTGTATATATGTACGCCCATGTGTGCATATGTGTGTGCATGTGCGCATGTGTATATATGTATATGCATGTGTGTATAGATGTGTGTATGTCCGTGCATGTGTGTGCATGCGCGTATATATGTATGTGCATGTATGTGCACACGTGTATGTGTGTGCGCATGTATGTGTAGATATACACACACATACATGCGCACCTACGTCTGTGTGTGCATGTGTGCGTATGCAGGTATGCGTGTGGCTATGTCTGTGAGTATATACATGTGTGGATGTGCACACACACGCACACAATTAAGGACACAAACCCAACATGTCTGGGTTATTTCCTCCCCTGGTTTTTTTACACCGTTTCCAGCCGCCCCACCCCCACCCCGTCCCTAGTGAGCTGCCTGCTCACACACACACACACACACACACACACACACACACCCCC